AAGACTGGCAAGCCTAATCGAGGACACACGGGAGAGTATGGGGACACAACAATCAGAACAAGATAAAAATTAGCGTACATTCAAATAGTCGTTGACAAAACAAAGACCGAGGACGAAGAACCCTATTTATAAGCGTAAGTATGATCGTTCATCAGCTAGCCTGCGCCATTACCCTTATTTTATTATTCTAATCTATAGCTTTAGCAGGTTAACAAACACGCCCAAAAGCACCCTCGCAAAGCTCTCTGGTTACCACGATTAGTCGTCTCCTTCTTTCCAATTGCCTCCTCTCCAGCGTTCGCGACGGTCAATGGAGAAGAGAGGAGGCCTTTGTAAGAGGAAACTCTGCTGCTTTTATTATTTTGCAACAAACAATAATGCTAAACTCTCCTGTCACTCCTTGAGCTTTGAAAGTTCTTGAAGTGCTCCTCCGACCTCCCGGTGCACCACCGTAACCTTCCATAAAGACTGCAGGGACCCCTCCTCCTGGTCCATGCCCACGAGTCGCCTGCAAGAAATGTTATGGCAAAATGTGAGATGCGTGTATTTACAGCAAAATGTAGAACCTTTTAACTTATGCTTCTTCAGTTAGTGCTCCTACCTGGACAAAGTTATAAGCTTTTTATTTATTTATTTATTTGTTTATTTATTTACTTATTTATTTATTGTTTTATTCAGCAAATCTTCACACATTGCAGATATTTTCCTTTTAATTAGTTTGTTACATTCTCTGCCAGTCTAACTACAGTGAATCCTCGATGTAGAAAACCACCTTAGATCAAACACCTCCTGAAGTAGGTAAGGCGCTGAGCACTGACATAGCCTATGCCATGTGACCAACATAACTCAGAACTCAAGCACAGCTACTAGTTAGGAAGGTCAAGTACACGAAATAAGTTGTGCTTGTTTTATTCTCTACTGCACTTATGTTTTTAGTGGATGCTGCAATCAAGCTCACAAACCAACGTAATCTTATTTTATATATAATTTTCTGGTATTAAATCCTCCCTCTGTGGTTGGTTTGATAGATATTTCATGGTAAAATTATCATTAGCATTATTAGATTGAATCGTTGTGTTCCTTTTAAAGCAGTAAAAAAACGTTTATTGCAGAATATTACATATAACTCTAATTCGTTGTACTAAATATATTAAGATAAAATTAACTATTGTCCTAATGAATTAAAAGACAATGCTTTTCTCGCTCTTCCACTCCTCTGAAGGCACTCATTAGTTGCATTGCATGGAAGAAAGTTCAATTGCTCAAAACTTGGAGCTAGCTGTTCAGCCATGCTTCAAAGCACTATACACTGCAACACGAAGATTGGGACAAACACAACTTTACTCGCGACGGTTTTTTTTTTTTTTTTTGCGGTTTTTCTCTAGAGCGCGTAAAATAGCGCCTCAGTCAGGAGCTTTTAATATTAACGGTGGCGCGGCATTTCGGGTTTAGGTTTCACCGCGCTGTTATTAGTTCAAAAGCCAGCTGTTTATTCCGAGCGTCCTTTAATTTAATCCAGTTGTAATCCACCTTAATCTAAGTGATCATCAATTGAGTCTAAGAGCGAAATAATTTAATTGGAGTTCTCACTAGCCTAATCCAGACGCAACCCATTTTGGTCTTAGAGCCCCTCAATTTAATTTTTTATACCCGTGTGTTAATAGGTGCTGCTGCTCGTCTGTCAGAACTGTTTTGGAGACCTGAAGTGCTTGCAAGTCATGTAGGAATATTAAATAAATACGCAAGTTTCATCATTGCTTTCTCAAATTCCAAAACCATGCCTACGCAGTATGCTTTCGCAGTGCCGCAGTATGAGAATGGGGCGTTGACTGCTCCTCTAAATCCTCTGCAAAAAAATCTCGGCGGTATGGTTACGCCGTGGTGCGGTTCCAGACGTCAGAAGTCGACTAAAATATCTTTCTATGAAACGTCCTTTGACGAGCTGATGGCCACCTGAGTTCTTCTGCCTTTGGGTCTACGCAAAGATAGGGTCAAAACATCCGGCGTATACATTGAGCCGTGTTGCAGAGTGAAGGTGACTTGGGGTCGGTAGTCACCGGGTTGTCTCATGGGTTGAATGTCCTTGGTAGACCGAAGAGGGGTTTGGGCGTTTCCGAGGCGCCGGTTGACCATTACGAGCCACCCGTGAGCAGTGTGGCAGTCCACCGAAGCTCCGGCAGCGACACTCGCGTTTGCTTGTGCTACTCGCACCTTCTCGTTAGCATTTCAACGAACTACCGCCAGGAGCGCCTTGTCTGTCCCCTTCTCCGTCCTTGTTCATTCGGCGCTTTCCATTCAATGATGTACCAACTAGCCCATTTATCTATTTTACTACCGCCAGGATTTTGACATGCAACAGCGTGACACTTCGGCTTCTGTGAAGTCATTTGTTGCCATTTAGGCACCACGTTTGATACATAGACAGCATAGGACGCTAATAACACCAGTCCAAGACGCGCTCCAGGCACCATAGCCAGACGCTGACAGACACCTGCATTCGAGTGTACCTCGTGCATTCCATGACGCTGCTGCGCCACCTTTACGGTCGCGTCCCTCAGGCGCTTCCTTCACTATTAAATGGTCCCGTCTTGAGGACACCCTCTCGCCTACTGGCCAAAAGATTGATATCTCAATTCGATGTGCTACTCTCGAATCTATGTACCCCACAGCTTATAAAAAATCTGGCGTGTTTACTTTCCTGCAAAGCAATTGGCAGAGCAAATCGCCTCACCTCCTGAAGAGGGCTGCCGGCTGATGACGAGGTTGAAAATATATCTGGACCTGAAAATAAAGTATGTAATTTCACTCTGAGGGAGACATTTCTGCAGGCTTATGCCAAGTTCGGTGTCACACCATAGGCTAATTTTGATGCACAAATTTATTTTACGCCTTGTAAATCGCGGAGCGTTTTTCATTCATTGCAGTTGTCGAATCTCCGATATTCGACGGGAAAGTCAACGCACGTTTACAGTTTTAAAAGTGGCTTCTGAACAAGTACGAGATCAGTATGCCGCTTAACTAAATTTAGCGAGTCAGTTATATATTATTATCTGGTGGTGGAACTTTCGTACAGATAGGCATCAAGGTAGTTGAATGATCTGATCAATCGATGAAGCGCCAAGCCCGTACTCATTTTCTAGCTCTATGGTAAATTGATTCCTATAAGTAAAAATACCTTCCAACTGGGGAAAGCCTTTCTTTTTAGTTAGAACTGATATGCCTTCTATGCAGTATTTAATTCTGCCTAATATTTTATCTATAATTTTTAGATAATGCTTTTTCGCAGCAATGTCGAAGAACACTTTCAACACTAGGGGCACAAGCATCAACACAGTTCTATTAAAAACAAAAATAAAGTCATATCATTTAATATATCAGAATAAAACCATCAAGTCGAGCATCATTTCCCAACCATATGTCGACACATGTTTCATTCAAATATTGGTTCTTTCTTTTTGCCAATGCTAGAGCTACGCCAATGCCCAACATTTCCTACAGGTGCAGGCGTAGTTAAGTAAAATATCATGAGGTCTCTTGATTGATTTTCAATTTAGATGACGGAGCAAGGAATCTGAAAGAGAAGTTTCGTGTCTGTCAAAGCATTGGTTCATCAAATAACACCTGATCGAGAAACTGGATAAAGGAACCACACGAAGTCATCACACTTGTCAACCACGGAGAAGCCAGCACATTTTTTTAAAAATCTTCCAGGACACCGCGACAAGGTACGTTATACCTTGATTAATACGTGGTAATAATTGTGTTGCGTGTACGTTTATACAGCGGGATGTTAGTCAGCCTCAATGACCGTCTGATATCTCAAGTGTAGATGAGAAATTTAACCAGTGCATTACGATAGCTAGCCTGGGGTCTTGAATATGCACCTAGTGACACACAACCGCCCATCGGTACGATGCTCATCCAGATCGAAAGGGGCAGGGGTGGGGATCGAATCAGTGTTGTACGGAACGGCTAGGGCCCGCAGACGTTTCGAAGAGGTGCTCATTTCATAGAAACCAACAAATATTAGTTAAGAATAAACAACTTCTGCCTATTATGCAGCCTGGTAAGTGCTGTAGTGCAGTCAGAAAGAGCATTTATGTATCTGGCACATTCTTTTTTCCGTGACTTAAAAACAAAATGTCCCCTCGTGTCGAAGCATTTAATTGAGAGCTTCGCAGACTAAGAACCGCGTATTTTTTCGGTAGGTTCGCCTTTCAAATGAAGCCACAAATATCAATCTGGAATATACAAAATCTACCTATTATGTAGCCTGCTAGGTGATGTACTCTAGTCCGAGAGAGCGTTTTGGTATCTGGCACATTCTTTTCTTTAAATGGTTCCTCATGCCGGAATATTTAAGTTAGTGCTTGAAAGACTAGAGCCCGCAGACCTTTTGGGTAGGTGTGCATATCACAAGAAGCGAAAATGATCAGTTTAAAATATACAAATTCTGCCTATTATGTAGTCTGGTAGCTATTGTACGCCTGTCTGAAAGACCATTTTGTTATCTTGTAAATTCCTTTTTCTGTGATTTCTAGGAAAATTGATTTCTCGTGTTGAAACATTTAATTTTAAGCTTCAAAAACTAAGAACCACATACGTTTTGAGGACGTGCGCCTTTCACAGGCAGCCACAAATATCAATTTGTAATTTAAAAATTCTTCCTGCTATGAGCCTGGTAGACGATGAATTGTAGTCTGGAGAGCATCTTGGTATTTAGCACAATCTTTTTTTCTGCATTTATTTTTTTTTTTAAAACGGTTTCTGTTGTATGTCGGCAAGAAGCGAGGAACAAGCAGGTTTCCAAAGGCGAAAGGACAGGTTTATTCCACCATGCTCATGGATGGGGGGTAACTGAGCAAAAGAAGGCTGTAGCCAGCGGAGCACCGCTTTTTATCTTTTAGTGGCGCATGCGCCGTACTACGATATTCTGTTATCGGCGGCGCGCGCCCAGACATGACATTTCCTCCCTCTTTATTTGAACACGCTCAAAAAGGTTAAGATCCGGCTTGAAATCTTTCGGAAGGTTTCCGGGTTCTTGTCGGATACCGTCGGGCAGCAGGCGCTTGTGCTGCTTCGGCTGGGACAGTTCTGCCAGTAGGTGACGAGGACGATGGTTGGGGTGCGTTGTCGCTCGGTTGAACCAACAAGAACTCTGTGCCTTCCTGGTCAGCGTCCTCGTCGACAAGGCTTGGAGTTCTTAGCAGCTGGTCCTTGTGCCGACGCCAGGTGAAGCTGCCTCTGGAGGTGGTGGCGCGTACTTGGTAGGAAACAGGGCCATGCTGCGCAAGAATCACTCCAGGCACCCACTTGGGTTTGCCACAGTAGTTACGGATGAGCACATGATCACCAACGGCAAAGTCACGATCGTGCCCACGCCGGCTTGCAGTCTGCAAGAACTGTTTGCGGGCTACCCTTTCCCCCACAGAAGGCTTTACAACGTCTAGGCGACTGCGCAAACGTCGCCCCAAAAACAAATTGGCGGGTGACTCGTTCGTTGTGGCGTGAGCCGTGTTGCGGTAGCTCTGCAGAAACGTCTGCAACTTCACATGCAAAGGCGCACTCTCCTTGTTTTTACGGAGGGCGTTCTTGAGGGTCTGTACAAAGCGTTCGGCTAAAGCATTTGAACTTGGATGGTAGGGAGCTGTCAGGACGTGACGAGAGCCAAATTCCTGTGTGAACGGTTTAAACTCCCGTGACGTGAACTGAGGACCATTGTCTGACACGATAGTTTCAGGGTTGCCAAAACGAGAAAAAAGTTCTCTCAAAGTGTTAATCGTGCTCTCCGTCGTGGTTGAGCGCATCATGAATACTTCTGGCCACTTGGAGTGGGCATCTACCACAACAAGGAACATAGACTGAAGAAAAGGTCCAGCAAAGTCTATGTGAACACGTTGCCACGGCGTTGTGGGCCATGACCACGGATGGAGGGGTGCCTTGACAGGCGCACTACGTTGCTCTTGACAACTTACGCAGTTTTTTACGCTGCACTCCAGGTCCGCCTCGATGCCCGGCCACCAAACGTAACTGCGCGCGAGCTCCTTGCTGCGCACAATACCCGGATGGCCCTCGTGAAGGTTATCCAGTAGCAGGGATTGCAGTTTCCCTGGGACGACAACTCGCATTCCGAGCATGATGCAGCCCTGATGAATGGTCAACTCGTTGCGTCTGTCGAAGAAAGGCTTTAGTTTCTCGTCAGAGACAGACGCGGGCCAGCCTGCGCTTGTGAATTCTTTCACTTGGCACAAAACTGGATCTCGCGCTGTTGCACGTGCTATATCACTACTAGATACCGGCAGTGATTGCAGTCGCAATGAGTAGAATGATTCCTCATTTTCTTTAGTCTCATTTCCAACGGTCGGTAGTGGAAGACGCGAGCAAAAATCTGCTTCGGCATTCTCGCTTGATCTCTTGAAGATAAGATCGTAGGTGTAGGCCGACAATGCGACTGCCCAACGCTGCAATCGCGCAGCGGCAATGGTTGGAATTCCAGTTTTCGAACCTAAAATGGTCTGGAGTGGTTTGTGGTCCGTGACCAAAGTGAAGAGCCGACCATAAAGATACGAGTGGAATTTCTTAACTCCAAAAATAATGGCTAGTGCCTCTTTTTCGAGCTGACTGTACCCTTTTTCAGCGTTCGATAGCGTACGCGAAGCGTAAGCGATGGGTTTAGCGCTGCCATCTGCGTAAATGTGAAAAATTACAGCACCTACCCCGTACTGAGAGGCGTCACACGCTAGCTTTAGCGGTTTGTCGGGGTCGTAGTGGGCCAAGGTGGGAGGCGACGCCAGCTCGGCCTTGATGGTGTTGAAGGCTTCCTGGCAAAGCTGGTCCCAACACCATGGCTCGTCCTTGCGCAGCAATCTGTAAAACGGTTGGGCTGTCGTTGCAAGATGGGGCACGAACTTGGCGTAGTAATTGACGACACCCAAAAAAGACTGGAGCTGCTGCTTTGTCTTGGGCTCGGGAGCCTGGAGCACCGCCTCCACCTTGTCAGACGACGTCGAGATGCCGTCAGCGCTGATCCTGTGACTTAGATAGCGAAGTTCAGGATGAAAAAACGAACATTTTTCTTTCTTGACTCGAACTCCTCGTTCAAGCAGACGCTTCAACACTGCTTCAAGGTTGGCCATGTGTTCTTCCGTAGTCTTGCCCGTGACTAAAATGTCATCTAGATAACAACAAACGCCGCTCAAACCTTTCAGCATGGTGTCCATTATTCTTTGAAAAATTCCGGGTGCTGAGGAGATTCCAAAAGGAAGTCTGTTTACAATGAACAGCCCCTTGTGCGTGTTCAGCGGTGACGACTCTGACATCACCACCTGCTGATAAGCTCGGTTAAGATCTATCTTCGAAAAGAGTTCGCCTCCTGATAGGGCCGTGAATAGATCATCAACTTTTGGAAGTGGATAACGGTCAATATCAAGACAAGGGTTGACAGTGGTCTTATAATCGCCGCAAAGACGAATGCCCCCGTCCTTTTTGATAACCGGCACGACAGGCGTGGCGTATTCTGCTGTAGTCACCGGAGTGATAGTGCCCATCTTTTTCATTTTCGACAACTCCGCCTCAACAGCCGTTTGCAACGCGAACGGAACGTTTCTCGCTTTTAGAAATTTCGGTTTCTCGTTCGGTTTGAAGAAAAGTTCTGCTCGTTCTTCAGTTATAGTTCAGAGCTCATCGTGGAACAGTGGCTCGTACTTTGACAGCAAAGAATCAAGCTTCTGTTTTATACGTTTAGAAGCAAAAACGTCTGACCTTGAGATGTGATTCAGCTCCCAGATCTTGTTCCAGTCGAGTCGTATCGTTCGAAGCCACTCCCGGCCCAGTAGTGGCGGCCCGGCTCCATCGACGACGTACAGTGGCAGCTGTACTGACGCCTCACCATGTTGCACATTGACTGTCGCAACGCCTTGAAGTCGAACCAGGGCTCCCGTGTAGGTGCGAAGCCTGACTACAGTTGGCGTCAGTTTCACAGACGGAAAAGACTGGTGAAACTGTTTAGCAGACATTACAGTTACCGCTGCTCCTGTGTCTAGTTCCATTTCAACCGCAGATCCGTTGATCACCATCTCCACCGTCACTGGGGTAAGGCTGGGCGAAGACACGCCGTGTACGACGGCTAGTCTTCCTTCAACTTCCAGCGTTTTTACCCTTTTTCCTGGCGGACGTTTCTTGCCCCCTACGTCAGTCCCGCTTCGGCAAACCCTTTGGATGTGACCTTTCTTGTCGCACTTGTGGCATACACTCTGCCGATGAGGGCACTCTTGACTGCGGTGCCGTGACGACCCGCAGCGATAGCAGCTGTCCCTCTGCTTCTCATTCCCTGCTTGCACCTTGTGCACGTCAGTGACGCTTGAGTTGCCGACGCGAGCCTCAGCCGCGCTTTGCTTCGCAGCTTCCATGGCTTGGGCGCGTTCCACCGCTTTCTGGAACGTTAGCTTGCTGTATTCCGTGAACAGCACGCGCTGTATGTCTTCCCTTAATAATCCGCACACGAAGCGGTCGCGGAGTGACTCGTCCAAAACGCTTCCATAGTCGCACGTTTGCGACAGTTTTCGAAGTTCGGCGACGTACTCGGAAATAGACTCGCCTTCATGTTGCGCTCTCCGGTGAAACTTGGCTCGCTCACCGATGATGGACGGCTTGGGTGACAGGTGGTCGCCGAGGGCCTTCTTGAGGTACTCGAAGCTCTTCGTTGAAGGCAGCTCCGGAGCAGTCAGGGACTTCAGTAGCGCGTAGGTCTTCGGACCGATGATGCTGAGGAAGGCGTGAACTTTGTCGCTCTCTGGAACTCCGTTGACGATCAGGAACGACGTTAACCTTTCGTCGTAAGAAGCCCAGTCGCTGGAAGACTCGTCGAACGGTTCCAGATAACCCATTCGACCGGCGAAGTGCGTCCCGGCTTCTTCGCTCATGATGGCTGTCGATGCTATGTCCGCCCCTGCGGAAACACCTGCTTTTCTCGGCCGACGGTCCTTGTCCCAACCTCGTCGCCAGTTGTTGTATGTCGGCCAGAAGCGAGGAACAAGCAGGTTTCCAAAGGCGAAAGGACAGGTTTATTCCACCATGCTCATGGATGGGGGGTAACTGAGCAAAAGAAGGCTGTAGCCAGCGGAGCACCGCTTTTTATCTTTTAGTGGCGCATGCGCCGTACTACGATATTCTGTTATCGGCGGCGCGCGCCCAGACATGACAGTTTCCTATGTCGGAACATTTAATTTTGTGCTTTAGAGACTAGAGCACGCACACCTTTCGAGTAGGTGTGCATATCACAAAAAGCCACAATTATCAGTTTAGAATATACAAATTCTGCCTATTATGTAGCCTGGTAGCGATTGTACTGCAGTCTGAAAGACCAGTTTGTTATCTTGTACATAATTTCTTTCTATGATTTCTATTAAAATTGATTTCTCGTGTTGATACATTTAATTTTAAGATTCAAAGATCAAGAACCAGATACTTTTGAGGACGTGCGCCTTTCACGGGAAGTCACGAATATCAATTTAGAATTAAAAAAAAAATACTTCCTATTATGAGCCTGGCAGATGATGTACTGTAGTCTGAGAGAGCATTTTGGTATGTTGTACATACTTTCTTCTGCTTTTTTTTTAATAGGTTGCTCATGCGGCAACATATAATTTTGTGCTTCAGAGACTAGAACCCGCACACTTTTTAGGTAGGTGCACATTTCACAGGAAGCTACAATTATCATTTGAGAATATATACATTCTGCCTATTATGTAGCCTGGTAGGTATTGTACTGCAGTTTGAAAGAGCATTTTGGTATCTGGTACATTCTTTTTTTTTGTGATTTCTTTGAAACAGTTACTCGTGTTCAAACAGTTAATTTTAAGCTTTAGAGACTAACAACCGCATACTTTTGGGCACGTGTGCCTTTCGCAGGAAGCCACAAATATCAATTTAGAATTTAAAAAAAAATACTTCCTGTTATGAGCCTGGTAGATGATGTACTATAGTCTGGGAGAACATCTTGGTATCTAGCACATCATTTTTTCTGTGACTTTTTTAAAATGGTTCCTCGTGTAGTAACATGTGAATTTGCGCTCTCTTGGCTAAGACCCACAGACTTTTCGGGCATGTGCGCATTTCACAAGATGCCACAACCATCAGTTGAGGAGATACATATTGTCTATATTCTGTAGCTAGTTACGTCTTGTACTGTACTACGAAAGTAGATGATGGTTTTTCTTCGTTCTTTCGTGTTTATTTGTTATGTGCTTCTTTATGTAAAAGTCCTGCTGATTTTGCTTTGGGCAGTTGCCCTTCGCCTATAGAGATTCAGAATATATGAAGGGCGTGACTGTCCTCTGGTTGTCCCGCCTCTTTAGCAAAAATGTATGGTTAGGTAACAAGATGGCGTTTCATGAGCTTTGAGCGTGCTCGAGGATCCACAGTTCCGGATGACAACGAGTACGTGCTAGAGGCCGGGCATTCGAGAAGGACGCCCTCAAGATCCAACACACGCCTCTGGCGTTACGTCACAAAAGTTTCTCTGCTGTGAGCGCATCTCCAAACACTTTTCCTTCACTCGAAGCTGGTTTCTGCGTAGACGCAGTGTCCCCACCTGGTGGAGGCGATCCCTGACTTTTTTGTAGGCAGCGTGCTGGTTTTACAACATTCAAGGTGTGGCATTCTGGTTAGAGCCGCACGTCTGTGTCCGCACGCGCATGTAACGCGTGAAGGTACCCTTGAATCCCGCGCTTGCATTTACAGGTGCATACCCAGTCATGGTGGGGATACGCGGCTTCTCGTAACATAACTTGAAATGTCTTCACGTGATTCAGGTGATGATTTGTTGACTACAAACCTGATTGAGTTTCACCATCTTAGAACAGCACGTGACGCCTGATTGGCGTGCACCCTGTCGGATTCGGGCAGTTTCCGAGGCGCCTTTCAGCCCGTGGGATATTTCGCTGTGTACCTGTATCGTGCTTTAATCTCCCTTTTTAAATGCGAAAGCATTAACTTTTTCGTGGAGCGAGCCAACGTCATCAGCTTTGAAGCCGCGCCAAACGGCACCTTAAATCCTTTCTTTAAGTGAAGGCAGCTCCCAGCTATGAAACTACGTGAAAAGCCTATTCAAACGGCACCTAGTTTCCCTGATCTCAAAGGAGCGGAGAAAAGCTGATGGATTTCGGCTTTGGTCCCATTGGCTGGCGCGCATTGACGAGGCTCCCATTGGCCCCTGCGCGTTAGTTTTAACGACCGCCACCCCATGTCGCTGCGTGTCCGAGAGGCAGCGGCTCCAGCGCTCCTCGCCCAAGGTCAGCGCGCCGAGGGCAGCGCGCGCGGTCGACCGCCACGCAAGTACGCCGCAGACGAAAGGAGGGAGCGGAAGAGTGGCGTGCATGCTTTCGCATCCAGAACTCATAAGAAGTGCTTAGGTGTACCTCGAGCCTTTTTGTACATGCGTTTTGTTATTTAGTAGAAATATTAAAGAATCACACACTAAAGCAACAAGAAAAGAGAAAAATACATATCACTTTTCATAATGCGCGATATTTAAGCAACTGTTCAATTTATGCTATTACCCCTCTCGTCTGGTTGTTTGTTGCTGAGTCAACTCTCTTTGTGATGTTTATGTTAGATTAGTTTCGCTGCTCACGGGTGGAAACCTTGTGAACCTGGTCTACTGGTACGATTTGGTCGCATATACTTCGGTTCACCTTAAGCCCAGACGCAGCCGACACTACGGAGACAATCAGAGAACGTCAAAACTGCGCCATCACGGTGTTTCTCATCTTAATGTACCTCATCTATCATTGCTGAACCATTCATTAAAAAATGCCTAGTGACTTGCGCTTTTGACGCTGCCTGATTCGTCCTGTCAAATCATAGCGTCGGCTTTGTCTTGTCTTAGATTGAAAGAAAGTATACTACAGCATTTAGAGTTCGAGCGTTTCATAATAATCTCGCAGGGTATTAAGCAAGCACCAATGTTTGAGCACTGCAACTTATCCGAGACTTGAAAAATTCAGACGCGGACGAAGCAGTGTGTCACGCACACGACTCAAACACTGAGTGTGCGGTGACTTCAATTTAGAATAAATACCACCACTGTCGAAATATTTAACTATCATTTACGCGAAAGCCCCATCAATCTAGTACAATATCAGTGTTGGCTTATAAACCCTGCCGACCTTGTGTGACGCAGTATTGAAAATAACGTGTTACAATTAACGACGGTACTGGTAACGCGTTAGTTTTTTTTTCTAACGTACCAACGTACTCGTTGGAATCCCAAACAACAAACGAGTAATATAATGTCGTTATTATTTGACGACGATATCTTCTATCCAATTACGTCACGATATTGCTGGTTAATTTGGATTAAAAATGGCCGCATGATTGTTTGTAAGCAAAATACTTGTAATTCTTTGCAATACGCAAGAATGGCAAAGAAACTTCAACATAGCTATGTATAAGCGGGGTCATTTCAAACTCCTTCGGAGGACACTTTTAACGTTCCCACGACAGGGCTCATATTCGGCGCGAGATTATTACTGCGTGGAACCCCTAAGCGTGCTTGGCGCAGTCTTTGTATAGAGGCTGCTAAGATTACCGTCGCCGTACCCTCATCAGGGGTCCATATCAGAGCAGCGAATGACGTTTTAGGAAACAGCGCCATTTGAGCGAATCGACACTTTAGCGAAAAACAGGTGCGCGTTTGACCAATCCACCCCGCGCTGCGCTTACGCCGCTTGGCGGCGGCTGTCTGCGGCGGCTCATAACAAAAATGTTAACCCACTTGGAGCACCCGCAAATGCCGCTTCGCAATGGCCAAACATTTGCTAAAGTGACTTTCGATAAAAAGTCCCCGTTCGCTAAAATGTGGTTCGACCAAACTGAGTGCCCCCCCCGCTCCCCCCCCCCCCCCCCCCACACACACACACAGAAGCCTCTTTGTGGAAAGTGACATCCGTTCAGAAGGCAACAGTCTGCCGCCGCTAGAAGAACTTTGCCTGAGCGTCCCGGGCTTCTCCAGCTGGTCACATCCTTCTTTTCAAAACAAATCCTCGTTCCGTCAACAACAAAATGAATAATCTCTAAGTTTGGAATCGTTCACGTTCCGAGGCTTTTATGTAGAACAAGAGTGTTAGCGACGGCCGGGTGCTGACGTGACGATAATTGGAAATGCGACGTTGGTTTACGAAGGAATAAAACAACGTTTATTTTACAGAATTAACTTGGATTACATTAAGAGGTCGATTTGGCATCCGTTACGTGGTGTGTATCTGGTCGTTCTTTTCAAAGCCGTTTCTTCTTCCCAGGTGCTATGGGCAAGGTTCAGTTCTTCGAATCGCACTCGCGAAGCGTCACGTGTTCGTTGATATGCGTTACACATCCTGCCGATGCAAGACAAACAAGCTGGGCTAAGCGACACGTGTTCTAGGATATACATTGCACATCCTGCCGACAGTGAATATTTGATTAATCTGACCAATGCAATGTGAATTTCTTTGTTATTTCTTTTGGCGTTACTCAAATTTCAAAATTTTATTATTCTGTGTTGGTTTGAATTGTTTATTTACATTGTTGTTTGCTGGCTTGTGCTGTTTGTGGGAGTTTCCAACGTATATATTGTCACCGATGGATTGGCGAGACGGGGAATGACGAAGAAACTAAACGTTTCATAAGGCGAGCTTGGGCCAAAAAAAAAAAGAGTAATAACAGGGGTTGAAGGCGAGCGTCGATAAGGGCGATGTGGCGGGATCAAACGCTGGAGAAAGACTGATTTTGGCTTGCCACGCGTATCCCTTTACGTACACGCATGGGTTTCTGGAACATTCGGCGTGGGATATTCGGCGCCTAGAACATTCGGGCCTCGAATATGCAACAAGCTTCTCGAATTTTCTAGAATGCGAGAGTTACAGAGATAATAAAAACCTACGTCCGCGGCCAAAAATCAAACCGTGGCCCTTTGGGTGGGAAACAATCACGATAACCGTTAGACCACGGGCGGGCTTTTTTCTTCTTCTTTTTTGTGTTTTGACAACAACACTTTTTCAAAAAACGCTTAAAAGACCGTCAACCTAGA